AGGAAGCTGGAATCTTAAATAGTCAAGAAGGTAAGCTTTTGCATGTAGTCCGTGATTTAGCTTCCTATAAACTTACATCCCCGCAAATTTTTGCCCCAAAATGACCTTGCGCCCTGCACTCCCTAGCAGGCTCCTTCTGTGCATTTTAAACGTTTAACGTTCGCTCTACTGTAAACAAGACTGCCGATCTAAAATCCCTTTTGCGAAGGAGTATCCATTGCAGAAACTGATGCGAACCCTGGACTGTTCATGAAGCCATACTCAGTCATAGGTCGTCCTATTACGTCTTCATGTGCGATCGACAGGGAGAGAAAGCAGGAGGTGGAGTACCTGCTCTTATACACTCGCCTTCTCTCACCACTTTATTGCTGCGAGAGACTTTCGCAGCAATATTTAGAAAATCACTCTTCACACTGATTATGAAAACCTGGACTACTTGCTCTCCTCGTGTATCGCAGCCCTTGTTGCGATTCCTCTACCTTCTTGGAATTTATTGATTATCTCAACTCGCTCTACAGTGAGTGGGTAAATCTGATTCTAATAATAGGCAACATCAGTTCTCCCTTGATAGACCGGCTTAATATGGTGCATAGAGCAAATGCATCTATGCCTGGTTCCTCTTCATTCCTAAATTTCGTTTCCTCTTACGGCCTCAAACAGATGGTCGAAGAGCCTTCATGGATTGAACATACTGGACATTCTGTTTCGGGACCCACCTTCATTAGTAGCCTGAAAGTTCTTCCCTCCTTTAGCACGTCATCACCGTAGTGTTTCGAAATCGCTGGCAAATCTTTGCCTCCGCCCAATACATCTATGTGGCGTAGGTCTTACTCAAAAGCTGACAATGCTTTCTACCTCAAATTTTGAGCATATGTGATGAACTGAATGTTCGTATCAAGATTAATCGTGAAAGATATCCGAAGCGGATACGCTTGCTCAGACAAAGTTTTTATCTTTTTGCCATTTCGCAACTTGTTAATAATATGGAGCATAAAAGGTTTTCTATGAAGCTTGAAAGAGCTCTTGCTCGCCTCTAGATGTTACTGGAAAAGCAAATTGCTTCTTTCAGAAATTCGAAGCGCTTTTTCAGTTTCTGTAGAAGAAACGTTAAGCTAGGTAATTCGATCCCGAAACTTATCTCGCGGGGTACTGTAATCAAAGACGATTGCAGTAAAGCTGACTTGTTAGCCAGGTATTTTAGGCCAGTCTACAAGAGCGCGAAATAATGATGTTTGCTCCTTCTCACTTCTGACTGGTGTATGCACTAACATGGTCTAAGCCAGTTTGAGGAAAGCTTCCCAGCATGTTCACATCACCGGATGGCATTTCCTATGTTTCCTCGAAAAACAGGAGCTTAGTTCTCCTTTAGGTGTTCTCTTCACTCGGGTGTTACTTCACGGAGAAGTCCCCGACGTACGGAAAATTGGAATCGTGTGACCCGTTTTCAAGATGGGTTCTCAAGAAGGTTCCAAACTATAGGTCTATTTCTCTGACCAGTTTGGTTAGTAAGGTAATGGAGCGCTTAATATGCCGTAATATTTTCAACTTCCTCGCTGGAAGGAATTTGCTGCATAATGACCAACACGGATGCCGGCAGCACAGGTCGACGACTACTGCGCTGTTATCTACCGTCCCTCCATGGCAAAAATATATTGACGAAGGGAGTTTTTTCTCAGTCTGCTTTATGGACTAGGTAAGGGCGTTCGATTCGATTTTCATACCGTTGCTGCTGAAGAATCTTGCTGCTTACGCTATTAGCGGCTCTTTTCTTGAGTCTTTTCTATGAAACAGGTCTCAGACAGTAGTCATAAATGACGTAAAAACTTTCTCATATCTCACGCGGAGCGGCGTGCCACAGGCTACAGGTCTGGGACTCCTCATGTTCATTGTTCATTGTTTACATAAATGACTTAGTTGAATGCTTCCAGACGGCCTTCTATGCATGCCGATGACTCTGAGGTCTTTATCCTGAATGACTGTGATAAACTTTGAGCGGTTATTGACGCTATTGCGAACGGTCTATAGAGAAGTCTCTATTATACTGCAGGATCCGATCGTCGATTGGTGTGTCAAAACGGTGATCTCCACAAGGCCAGCGATCGCGCGGGAATGACGGCTATAAATAGGAAGCTCCAGTGGCATTCGTTATTCATTTATTTGTTTCTTATTGATCTCACATACACTCTCCGAATAAACGTTTAATTACCCAAGTTTGAGGTCCCGCCACCGAATCACTATATGGTGCATCGGCCGGGAATCGAACCCGGGATGCTCGCGTGGCAGGCGAGCATTCTACCACTGAACCACCGATGGTAGCCTACGTTCTTGATTCATAAGGCACCTGCTCAACCGAGTGAACACCAATCTTCGAGAGAAGATTGTGGATAAAGTGCCCGAATTGCGCCGGGTTTCAGCATTTCCATATATAACAGCACCTGAAAGAGAGATGGCTCTACAGATACTCGTACGCAATCATCAGAAAGTACATCTTCCACAAGAGAGACAAATGGCTCTGAACAGCTAAATTTGAAAGAAGATGAGCAAGGAATCTTACGCTGTCGAGGACGGCTTGGAAACTCCAGTCTCTCGTTTGACATGAAGTACCCATATGCCGTCGCCAGCAAAACCGACTTCGCCTCATCGTGGAGCATGCGCATTTGCCGCTTCACTGTGGCACAGCACATACCATGGCAAAAACCAGAGAGAAGTTTTGGATCATGAAACTCCGACAGCTTGTCCGATCAGTTATCACCAGATGCGTGCCCTGCCAGAAGATGAATAACCTTCCCTTACAGATATCCGGCAATGGAGGATTTACCTGCCCAAAGAGTACAAAGGACACGCCCCTTTGAACACATCGGGATCGATTACTTTGGTCCACTTTCTATAAAGAAGAATGATGATACTGCAAAGGTCTACGGAGTCATACTGACATGTGCAACGACGCGATTAGTTCATCTCGAGCTTGTAGCCGACATGAGCACAACGCATCTCCTACTTGCGCTTCGAAGATTTTGTGCAAGACGAGGAGTACCAGCAAGTATTACTTCAGACAATGCGACAAACTTCCTTCGAATTTCGAATTCGAACTGCGAACAAATCCTCAGCAGTGCCGTTTTTCCTGTGATAAACGACATTTCGTTTGCTCAGTCAATGGCAGAAAAAGGAATCATGTGGAAGACAAACACGCCATACGCTCCGTGGCAGGGAGCTCTGTATGAGCGGTTGATCAAGTCGATAAAACACAGCCTTTACAAGGTTTTGCAACGAGCTGTGCCGACACAGGAGATTTTGGAGACCCTGCTCGTGGAAATAGAAGGTTGTATAAATAGCAGACCCCTTACATACCAGGAGGAAAGGTGGGACGAAACACCCATTCTCCGTCCAATGGACTTCATTCAACGAGACATTATCATCACGTATCTTTGAAACTATAGGAGAAGAAGAAACAGATGAAAGCTACTATTCATCCGAGGAGGTGGCCGTGTTGAAGACTCGTTGCCAGACAGAAGATGCCCTCGAAAAGGAGCCATCAGTTGACAGAGCGGTTCTGGACAATATGGAGCCAGCAGTACTTGACCGGATTGCGTGAATCACACAAGCTTCAAATTGACAACAAGCGTAGTACAACCAAAATTCCAGACGTAGGACGTGTTGTGTTGATAGCCGACGCAGTTCTGCCTCGAAATTCCTGGAAAATGGGAAAAATCACCAAGGTGAACCAGACGGAAAAGGGAACCGTACGAGAAGTAGAACTTCGACTGCCTAATGGGCGCACAATCCGTCGCCCTGTGAAACTACTAATCCCGCTAGAGATAGAGGACCCTCACCGAGAGGTCACCAATGAAACCGCCGATTCCAGACACAATATGCAAAAAGGAGGACATAGAAAAGCAACATGAAGAGTCTCGCTACAACCTGCGACCAAGGAACAAGAAACGAATTCGTCATCAAACATCATTTTCACGAGGAGTATCGCAGCTACAATCATGCTTTAATCACTTTAGCCTCCCAGCCCGGAGGAGCAACATCACTGTTGCAGGAATATTCTCAGCATGCAACAGCTAGAACAGTGAGAAACCATACTCCAGGAGAAATTAGACAAGAATTACGCAAAGCCAAGGAAAGTCTGAGCAAGGATTATGTTACCCTAGCTTCTCCGGGGATGACATTTCATCCAAACTATGAGCAATGGAAGCTCTTCTACGAAGGTCGGCTGGCGCAACGTGATACTACCCTCTATAACAACATCCGGTGCTGGGTTGACACTGCAAACATTACCGTTTCGATTAGTTCGCTACGTATAAAAGCACTGAATCAGTTAAGCCTCAGCGTAGGAGGCAATCAACAATGATGCTTCTATGAAAAGATGTTCCAATGTTTAAGAAGGAAAAGAAAGGAAACTCACAAAATATATTCTACTACATTCTTCACTACCGCCTAACCTATTAGCTATTCTACCTTTGTTCAGCATGGAGAAACCTACGTCAATCGCCACCACGGACAAGAACGTTGAAGTGCCAGCATCTCCTCGCAAGACCAAGCCAATGGTCATGAAGACAACTCGTCCGGATAAGCCGAAGCCTCTACCAGCGGCTAGCGCGGAATCTGACATAACATCGTCGGAGAGATTCGCGGAAACGATATGCCTCGTCATCGCAGTCATCTGAGGATCTCCCCCCAAAGAAGAACCGCGCATCTGGAACCATATTGAAGGAACTACTCCAACAAGGAAGCAGAATCCTCCAACACGCCGCAAGCAAAGTCGATCAACTGGCCCCAGCGATCTCGGTGCTCCCATCTACCGAAACAACGGAGCGTCTGCACGAACAAGAACAGATTATGAAAGGCATTCCATGGAGAAAACCTGAAAATGCATCACGCGAATGAAGCAAAAATCGAAAAAATCGATTTGAAAATGAGTCTTCTAAATGCTCGTATCGATCAGATGCAAGGATTTCCGAAACGAAATCAAGCAGCTACGAGACCATCTCTCCCCCATGAATACCACACAACTATCCCTCGACGTCAAAGGTCTCTGCGAACAATTCGAAGAACTTAAACTTCGTCTCTCCAGTATCGATGTAGCAAGGATCACAACCCGTACCGAGCAGCCCAGTCACGACGATACAGCAAGGACCACCGCCCGCATGGAGCAGCCGAGATCTGAGCTGGACAGAATTCGAAGGGTGAAGCGACGCCGCCTCCAGTCAAAGGAGTCGAGACTGGAACAGGAAATGGAAGATGAGAGACGACTCGAAAGGGAAAAGCACAGAAGCTCCGCTCGCTCAAGCTTACGTGGCAACATGCAGGAAAAACGAAAGGATGAAAGCATCAACATAGAAAAGGAAGATGACCACGATAGCAGAAGACGAGATGGACGTGAATCCAGACATCGACGAAACTCGACTTCTTCACGCGATCACGATTGCAATTAACGATGGTAATCCTTCAACTAACAATGGCCGGGAGTATAGAGAAGTCTCTATTATTCTGCAGGATCCGATCGTCGATTGGTGTGTCAAAACGGTGATCTCCACAAGGCCAGCGATCGCGCGGGAATGACGGCTATAAATAGGAAGCTCCAGTGGCATTCGTTATTCATTTATTTGTTTCTTATTGATCTCACATACACTCTCCGAATAAACGTTTAATTACCCAAGTTTGAGGTCCCGCCACCGAATCACTATACGGTCTAGCAAATGGCAGCTCGAAATCTCTGTCCGCAAAACTGTCTTGATATGAATTGGGAGAAGTCATCCTCCTTTTCTTTTTATTAGGTTGTGCCGGAAAGTTCTGCACGTTTCGAGTGTTTCACTTTAAACGATCATAACTTTCTTAACACTCATCGGATTTAATCCAAATAAGCACCATTCGAATCAGCACACTTTTGCCAATGTGACAGCAGTCGAGAAATCCCATCAAAGTAAAAAACTGGGTGGTCGAAAATTCACGAAATCCACTAAGGCTTTTTTGCCTGGTCCTGATTGATGAAGTATTTTCCAGCAAGGGAGTTCTGAAAATGTTTGAAAAGGTGATAGTCGGTTGGCGAAAGGTCTGAAGAATATGGCGGTTGAGGTAGAACTTCAACCCCCAATTCGTTCAATTTATGGATAGTGATTTGTGAAACGTGTGGGCGGGCGTTGTCATGCAAAAGAATCGGACCCTTTCTTTTGATAAGTGTTGGCTGCAGCTGACAAAATTTTCGGTACATTTCGTCGATTCCTTCACAGTAGGGTTCTGCTGTGATGGTTTGGCCTGGTGATAAAAAGTTATAGTGGATCACACCAGCCGATGACCACCAAACCGTGACCAGAATCTTTTTTTCGTGAGGGTTCGGCTTTGAAAATTACCTCGGTGGTTCGTCGAAATCCAACCACTGTCCGGAACGTCTCCTGTTATCATACATGATCCATTTTTCATCACAGGTGACAATTCGGTTCAAAAACGGGTCGTTTCTGTTGCGCAAAAGCAGTGAAGAAGGAAACCTCGAGACGTGCCAATTTCACTCAATTGTGGGGCACCCACTTGTCGAGTTTTTTCACCTTCCCAATGCGTTCCAGACCATCCGCAACAGTGGATTTGCCAACGCCTAGCTTTTCTGCAATCTCTCGAACTGTTTGGGATGGGTCAGCCTCCAAAATCCCCCTAAAATCCTCGTCAGATATTGCTTTAGGTCGACCGCTATGAGGTTCATCTTCAAGGCTGAAATCTCCAGAACGAAATTTGTTGAGCCATTGCCGCACAGTGCTTTCTCTAGCACTATTGGGCCCCCACACCTGGTTAATTTGTTGAGCTGTTTCGATTGCGGATTGCCCCAATTTATAGTCGAAGAAAAAAATCGTCCGAAGTGCTCTTTTCACATGCTTGAAAAAATCTTGAAAAAAGGGGGTTCATCAAGCAATGGTGAAACAGAATGGTGAAACGGAGTTATACCATCAGATAGCGCAAAGAATTCTCTTCAGGATGTACTACTGAGACGCAAGGGAGAATGAGTTTTTAATCAGCAATGAATGTACAAAAAATAGTAACACAAAACGTGCAGAACTTTCCGGACAACCTAATACAATGTCTGGAAAGGAGCTTACGCTCACTCGTCAAGATCGAAATTTAGGTATTGTATGTAGCGACAGGCTCGAGTTTGATGAGTACATACATAATTTAACGGCTTGTGCGAGCATGAAAGTGAATTTCGTCTTTATCGTATTTAGAATTCACGATCCAGTTGTGTTGTTTCGGCTTTTCGCTCTTTACATTTGGCATCTACTGGAGTACTGTTCGTCGTCTTGAAGAAGCTGTGGGATGCTTACTTGACACACTTCCCACAGACCACATAACTGGATCTCGAAATGCCTAAGGAAATATCTGATGCAAGATTCAAAAAATATTCACGACCTTTTGGAAAACCTAATACTATCCGTGGACTCAGTGAATTTTGCAGATCTCGCCTACTATCCATGCTATATACACGTCTAAAATGATAGTATGAATATGTGGCTCTTCACGGAGTTCCTTTATCGTCATTATCTAAAATCTTTCATTCTTGTGTTCGGATGGTAAATCGTTGGTAAATTAATAGCAACATAAAGAAGAGGGCACATCATTAGCTGATGATTTTGATAATGTCCGTGCGACCCCACCCTGCTAAAAGGTGACTTGATACGACCCACCCCCTGCTTCCCTCCGCTGATATGATCGTGTCGGGGGGGGGGGGGGGGGCAAATTTCTA